AGTCGATCCTAAATAAGCAAAATATTTATAAAAACACAACTCAAAGACAATGCAGATCAGATCGCAAAACTCAAAATTGTGGTAATGGCAAGAAATGTATACGACTTAATAGACCGAAACACCTCTCCACTATTATATTTATGTCATAAATTTTCTAATTTTCATTTTCCTTTTTTCTTTTTTCTCTTTCTTTTTCAATCAAATCAATCAATCAATCAATCATTTTTTCAATCAATCAAAATTCCAAATTCCCTTTTTCTCGCTGTTTCATTCCTTCTTATTATAACTTTCTATCACAAATTTTTAAACTTTTTAGCAGTTTGCCGCCTTCGTTTCTGAATTCCTTCGTACAATTCCATTCTAAGCTTACTAATGCGACTGTATTAGTTAGAATACTGGGCCACTTTTGGTGTGTCGAAAAATTCTAAGTTAGAATTAAGAGTTCGCTTCTAATCTGCTTATAAGTCGATTGTAGCAATCAGGTCGACCTTGGAAGCCTAAATGGCGAAGGCGCGACAGATTACAGCATGAAAGAACAGTGTAAGAAAAGAAGGTAAGAGTGAGATAAGACGCTTCGGTCCATTAAGTTATATACGTCTTAACTCAACACCGCGCGGCAAGACCTCGTCAGTATGACGGTTGCAGTGCTCAAAATGGAAAAGGAAAAGAAAAGAGAAAGATGACAGGAAGAAACAGAACTGCTTATAAATTTTTCCAGTTCTGTGTTATGAACTTACCAAAATATAAGAGATAACTCGATGATTATCACATCCATAAATTGGCTTCTTCCTGTCACTGAGGCTCTGTAGTGCCAGCTTTTGATATTCCATTCGTTCAGCTGCCAATTTCTCATCCATAATCTGCAATGTTTTTTTAAGAATCTAACAGATCGGAGAAAACTTTCAACAGAAACATGCGAAAATGGCTAAAATTGAATAACCGAGCTACTTGGAATGGATATCTAGGCACTATTTTCATTTTAATATTAGTTGGTATATGTTTATGAAAGATGTAAGGAATTAAAAAAGGAAAAATTGAATAAGATTAAAATCTGAATAGGAATGTTTCGGTCCATAACATGCATGCGGATGCCATATAGATTCATAAGCTTCAACTAGACGTAGAATACAACGGATAGTAACGTAATGGTTAATATGTAATGATTCGAAGGAGAGGGGCTGCTAGGGAAACGAGTCTCAAAAAAAACTAGCTATGGAACGGTTTCGATCAATTTACGAATTACCCCTCCCCCCCTCTTTTCCCAAGAAGAAAATCAATAGAACATCATGCGACGTCTTATGGCAAAAGGTTAAACCAAATACAACTCAAAAGCATGGTAAAACAAAAATTTTGCAAAGCGCAGGAGAAGCTGCCTGAAATATGGGCGAATTTAAGTCTATCGTTAACAGAAAGTAATCTTTGCAAATCATCTTCTGCCAGTTTTACACCTCGCAAAACGGTCTATTCCTTTTTTGCTTAGATTCCGGGTACAAACATATTAAAAGTCCATTTCTCCCCTGGCAGTACTGCTCATTTCAGCTTTTCTGATCAGTTTCGCAGGCATCATTTTCGTGGATATTGTAATGTAAATGCAGCTGTTTTGATGACAAATCTGCATTTACGATAACGGGGTATTATATATGATAAATTTGTTTTTTCCCCAATCCTTTCTTTTACATTTCCGATCTCCACTAATTATTTCTTGGCCCTTTCTTTTCCATACCGTAACCCACTGTTCGGGGGAACAAACATTCCCGATGCCTGGGAACACATACGGGTAGGGTGTTAGATCTGGTGGGACAACAGTCTGAACCGCGCCCCCTCTTCCCTTACTACATAAGGTCCCCTTTCCCTCAGTTGCGGCTTCTTCTGGACCTTCTTCATCATCTCGTCAACTCGACCTACGGCGCCGCCACGACTATCTTCGGGTTCTTCTTGGCCTTCAGATTTCGGCTCATTTGGACAGCAATCCATTCATATGTCATCTACTAGCACTGGGCTTCAAAGCTATTAACTAAAATGGGTCCCCAAGAAATTTGATGTTTTGCAGATAAGTTATTTTCTTTTTACCTATGCGCTAACTGCTGACTGAGTATAATGTCCCGTACCCCTTCGTTTTCATTTTATAATTTAATGCAACTAAGCATCATAAAGAACTTCTACAATATATCAGCTTGTGTGCTCCACTAGACCACGCCAAGATCAGAACCTCATCGGGCATGTCCCACATTTACTGCAATGTGAAGAGTATAAACCATTGAGTAAATCACTTCTTCGCTATAAATATCTTTGACACCTCCCTAAGGAGTGACCAAAGCGCAACTCGAAGCCTCATTTAGGTATACGATTTCCCAGATGGACGACCAATAATTTGGAAAAATTCCAACTCCTTTTAGCCAGCTAGTTATTTATGCGTTTTGTGCTTTTGCAACAGCTGCACAAAACGCATACTGCCACGGGCCTGTGTGTGTGTGTCCGAGTGCACTTTATTCACAACATGGAGATCACAAAAGCTGGGAAGCTGAAATTTTAAGAGAATATTCTCCGCCTACGCGTGACTAAGTACCACAAAAAAAAGCTCTCATGGGCACATACCCTCACTTCCTGACGATTCTGTAGAAAGCGTGGCTGCGAATGGTTCGCATTCAGGAAATTCGACACAATAGCAACATAACGTTGATGATCGACCACGCGCTGGATTACCGACTGTCGTTTTTTCAACATTTTTGGATGTGGCGGTGCCCAGGGCATCTCTTTTCGATCAATCTGCAAAATCGCTTGAACTTTGAGCAAAATAAACACAAATAAATAGCAACGCGCACCAAACTAGCCGGTGCGATCATGCGTCTTGTGCAATTCAGCCCACCGAACGATTGCCTATTAATGATTTTCACTGCTTTGTACTTTAGTCTATGCAAAAATAGTTCAAACAAAAGAAGACCAGACAAAAATTTCACGCACCAGCGTATGAAAACTGAATTCGAAACCTTGAAGGATGAATATCTTTTCGTGAGAATTTCACGCACCAGCGTATGAAAGCTGAATTCGAAACCTTGAAGGATGAATATCTTTCCGTGATTTCGATTTCATGCACCAGCGTATGAAAGTTGAATTCGAAACCTTGAAGGATGAATATCTTTCCGTGATTCCCCGCACCAGCGTATGAAAGCTGAATTCGAAACCTTGAAGGATGAATATCTTCCCGTGATTCCCGATGCACCAGCGTATGAAAGCTAAATTCGAAACCTTGAAGGATGAATATCTTTCCGTGATTCCCGCGTTAATAGTTTGCACCAGCGTATGAAAGCTGAATTCGAAATCTTGAAGGGTATATATCTTTCCGTGATTCCCAAGTTAATAGTTTACTCGCCAAAATCTCCACGAGGTCGTAAATGATACTCAAGAGTGCGGGAACGCTGAATTTGAACAGTCAAAGTTGAGCGTGGGCAAGGGGTCATTACTCCAAAATATCAGCTCCCTAGACTTCGTGATTTCCGAGATATTAAAAAACTTTCACGGGGCCGTGCGTGTTAACCGCGGGTACGGGAAGGCTGAATTTAAATGGGCAAAGTTGAGCGTGGGCAGGGGGTCATTACTCTAAATTTTCAACCTCCTGGACTCCGTGGTTTCTGAGATATTAATTTGCCCATAAAAAACTTTCACGGGGCCGTACGTGTTACCCGCGGGTACGGGAACGCTGAATTTAAATTTGCCGCTTCACCCGCTGGCAGGGAACACTATACCAAAATTTCAGTCGCCTAGTTTTTGTGGTTGCCAAGTTGAAAGTGCGGGACAAAATGTGGGACACACACACACAAACACACACAGACAACCCCCCCCCCCGTGACAATATGCGTTTTGTACTGCTGTTACACCGCACAAAACGCAAAAAAAGGCAGTTACAACAAAATAAACATTAAAAAAAAAGGCTAACTAAATACTGAACACTGCCTACACAGTTTTACGTGAAGCAACAGAACCCTGGCAAAAGCAAATGTTTCAAAATTACCTGAACTTTGTTCTCTTCCGATTTTGGTCCTGCTTTCTGCCGCTGAATCTCAACATATTTCTCCAGTGCCACATCTCTACAAACAAAATACATTGGAAAACAGTTAAAAATTTCACGCAATTTTCATCTTCATAGCTTTTGTGGTTTCCGAGTTGAAAGTTGCGAACAAGTTGCTGAATTCGAAACCTTGAATGGTAAATATCTTTCCATGACTCCCGAGTAAATAGTTTACTCGCCAAAATTTTCATGAGTACTCAAGAGATGGTACTCAACAGCGCGGAAACGATGAATTTGAATAGGCAAGGTTGAGCGTGGGCAGGGGTCACTGCCCTAAAATTTTAGCTTCCTAGACTCCCTGGTTCCCGAGATATTAATTTGCCCGTAAAAAACTTTCTCGGGGCCATACGTGTTACCCGCCGGTA